TGGACGAGGACTTGGATCCCGGGTTTCAGCTCAAAGTGCACCGAGTTCTGGTTGAGCTTGTGGATCAGTAGCTCCGATATCTGAAAGAAGCAGTGTCATAGTGGGTGCCACCAAAATTATCATACTGACTATAAACAAATGTGCTGAGAAATATGTATTGCATTTACCAAGGCATTCCCAATAGTATGCTTGTGAATTATATAAGTTTTAATAGGATGCTTTATTCCAGAATATGAAGAAGTAATAATAATTATTTTTTAAAATATATTTTTATTGATTTCAGAGAGGAAGAGAGAGAGAGGGAGGGAGAGAGAGAGAGAGAGAGAGAGAGAGAGAGAGGAACATCAATGATGAGAGAGAATCATTGATCAGCTGCCTCCTGCATGCCCACACTGGGGATCTAGCCCACAACCTGGGCATGTGCCTTGATGGAGAAGAGAACTGTGACCCCTTGTTCATAGGTCAGCACTCAACCACTGAACCACACCAGTCGGGTAGAAATAATTATTTTTAAGCATGACCTGACTTTACATACTAAATGCTACAAAATAGGTCAAATAATTAGTACATCAAATACTTTTTACAATTAAAAACTATCCTGTGATAGCTTAGAAAAGTCATGCCATTTTTAAAATTTGTTATACACAGAGCTTAAAAGAAGCAGACATGTACAAGTTATACGTAGTGGTGAGATTCATATACAAGTATTTTATTAACTGCTAGATTCCACCTTATTCCTCCCTATGCCTCCCACCCCTTCCCCAACCCATGCCTTGTGGCTTTCACAGAATAGCTACTTTATGAATATTTATTGATTGGCAAATGTAGTTCTTCTAAAATAATACATTATATAGTTGAAACAAAGTGCAGCCACAACTTAAGTAATGAATTGGCTGACCCTTGTTTCAGGTGTAGAACATCAGCTGACCGGCTACTTGGGCTGACATGTGTACTAGACAGATGCAGGGAATTCTGGGCCTCAGAATATTTAACCCCAACATGGGGCAAAGAGCTTTATTTAGGTAGTAAGAGTATAAGGTAAGGTTTTAAAGTCAAAGTAAAACTCTGTTCAGTTTAAAGTAGAAAACCCAGCTCAATTTGCTTTGCTTTGCTTATATTTTTGAGCAAATTATGAAAAGTTATCACCACACTCCTATTATTATTATTACTAGAGGCCCGGTGCATGGGTTCGTGCACCAGTGGGGTCCCTAGGCCTGGCATGTGCCCTCTCACAATCCGGGACCCCTCGGGGGATGTTGGAGAGCTGGTTTCGGCCTGATCCCTGCAGGCCAGGCCAAGGGACCCCAGTATGCATATAAGATTTTTGGTTAATCTCTTCCTGCCCTCCCCCCTTCTCCCTTCCCCCTGAGATTCATCAGTCTGTTCCATGTTTCCATGCCTGTGCATTGAGCGTCTACCCCCTGGTGGTCAGTGCGCATCATAGCTACTGGCCAATTGGCTGGTAGCTTAGGCTTTTATATATATAATTTTTATTTAAATGCTAACCCAAGGATGTGCTTTCATTCCTGAGAGGGAGAGAGGGAGTGCTAGCAAGGAAAGAGAGAAAGAGAGAGAGAGAGAGAGGAGAGAGAGAGATGGATGTGAGAGAGAAACATGGATCACTTGCCTCCTGCATGCACCCTGACTGGGGATTGAACCTGAAACCTGGGTATGTGCCCTGACCAGGAATGGTACCCACAACCCTTTGGTGCATGGGAGGACATTCCAACCAACTGAGCCACACTAGCCTGGGCTCACTCCTATTATGATCTGGTCACCTTGCCTTATTTTTAATATTCTAATCATCAATTTAGTATTTATTTATGTTACTTTTAAGTCTAATTAGATGCTTCCTGACCATGATTCTGATAAATTATTATATGTGTTTCCTTTTATGTTTATAGAATTTAATTTAATCCACTGAGTCACAGAAATGACGCATTTGATTCTTTCAGCAGTTAAGCAGGGTCAGGCGGTTTTGTTTTGAAGCCAAGTCCCTTCTGGAAACCTCTGCTTGGTCACAGAGCGGACTGCCCTGCGGATGAACTTCTTTGCTGGAGGGCTGTCAGTTACCTGTGGCTGAGCACCTGGGATCCGTGCAAGCTCAGCCTCTCTAACGTTTCCATTTGGCAAACCACGCAGAAAAACAAGATCATCATACGATTATATCGAAAACAGCTTTGTTCTCTATATTAGGCTGTTCTTTTCCCTGGGCTCTGGGTATCTTTCATTATGCTCCGGGTTTACAGGAAGAGCGGGTTTCTAACACAGACTGAAGAATGCTTTTCCTCCGGGTTCTCTACATTGTTGCGACACCCAGTTCCCACTTTACCTTGTTCTTCTCATTCAATTTGTAAGGTCTTTATAGGGATTTGACCCTGGATTTTCAGTGGAGGTCAATCATAAATGTTTTGGTTATCAAATGAACACATGTACACATACATAAATGTGTAAATATATATGAAATATGTAGATAGCAGTAATCATGTATGTATAAAATATGTTTATCACGTTATGTAGATGTGTACATGTACACACTTATATTTATAGGAAAATGTTTTAACTCAAATAGGAAAGACTTATCAGAGGTAATTAAGGAATTGCTCTGTGTCGTGGAGTCCATCATGTGGACAAAAGGGAATATGTATTTGCCAGAGAAAGACTTTTCTTTTTCAACCAGGTGGAGTGATATAGATTTCTTATCCCTGAGAATGTTTTTTTTTCCTCAAGTGAGTAATATAAATAACTAAACAATAAAATAAAGTTCATCAGAATGTCATACTTCTAGATAGTCCCTTATGAATATGATGAACTTCCCAGAATTTTATTTGTTTTCATTTATAACATTGCTTCATTGGCTTTATCTGTGTCATTGACCAAATTAAGCAGGCTATGAAAAAAATCATCCAAAAGCAAAAGGTATGTTTCATGTATTTAACTTGTGTCAAAGGACATGCAATGAAGAACACATCGTTTGCAGGAAAGAAATTATACACGGAGATAAAACTAAATAAAATTCACCTTGCATACAAGAATCATTTCAATTACAACCATGTACTCAAATAAATGAGTGTCAAACTGTTGACAATATTTTAAATTTTTTCCATGCCACTAGATAAAACTAAATAAAATTCACCTTGCATACAAGAATTATTTCAATTACAACCATGTACTTCTCTACTCACATAAATGAGTGTCAAACTGTTGACAATATTTTAAATGTTTTCCAGGCCACCTACAGAAGTGTTTGTCCTCTATTGTTTTCATCAGGTCAATGGTCATGTATGTGTTTTAAGTATATTATCTATGCATTGCACAATTTATATCGGTACAATTGCATATTTTTATTGTTTTGTTTTGTTTTTCTAACTCCGAATGTTTCAGGTGTTAGTGCTGGTATATGCTTGGGAAGGAACATGGACCTTACAGGATATACCTCAGTTTACCCAGTTAATATTTGAAGAGTTGAGTCTAGACTGCAATATTGTTTGACTCTTAGTCCCTGGGCATTTTTGGCAGAAACATTTTCCTTTAACCAGCTGAGGAAGAAAGAGAGCAAAAGATATTTGGAAAGAGGAGGAGCTGGGCAGGCTTATGAGGTTTTACAGACACAGTTCATTCATTACTCTGCCATCTCTTATTCACCAGTGAAGCACACAGCTTATAACTCCAGTCCCATATCAGCTGACCAGCATGAGCTACGGGAATAAGCAACTCCTAACCTTATCCTCAGAATGGCCACAGTCTGTTACCGGTTAATATAATATGCAACGTTTGGGAGAGTCTTCGGCTATGAAAGGAGTAGAATAAACTGGAATCTATAGAAAAGTGTGGTGAGAAGGACAAAACCTTGCATGATAAAGAATCAAGTGAAATAATGGGTGCTTGCTGGGAGATTGGACCCGCTGAAGCAAGTTAAATTTACTTTTCTGTCCAGTGAGAGTGTACTGTCTTAGCAAATCTCAGTTATCCTTTGTTCTGTCACCCCCCACCCGCCTCTGCTGCTGACCCACACAGTCCATTTTCTGGCCTCCTTCAGCTAAATAATCATGACCGAAGAAAC